ACTGGGGGGGGGGGGGGGGGGGGGGGGGGGGGGGAGACAAAGGCGGCCGGGCGTGGTGTTGGCCGCCCCACGCCCCCTCGTTTGCCACAGCGCCGGTAGCCTTAATAGGTGCTCGCTAACAGCACTTGCCCCGGACAATCTGTTAAGGCTACACGGGGAGGGAGGGGAGGGGGGGGCCATCTTTGTCTTTGTTGCTAAGCAACCTCATGGCCTCCTTCCCACGCGATGATGATTTTGGCGGCTGAGTGGACGAGCGGTCATCTCGCCCGCTCTCGCGCACGGGAAGCACAAAGACAAAGGTCCCCCGTGTAGCTTTAGCAGGCTGTTTGGGGGGCAAGCGCTGTTGCCGGGCGTAGCAGCAGGCACCACCTGTAAACGCCGGCGCTGTGGCACGCGATGTTTGCTACACAGCGCGCCAGGTACTCGTTTGAGGCCGAGTCGACCTAGGGGAGGCCCAGAACCGGTTCAGGATAATCGTCACCGGTGGTGTTGGCCGTGAGCGGGAATCGAACCCGGGGTCGCCTGCTTCGTAGCGCAGCGCGCTGACCGCTGCAATTACCGCTGCACACGCACATGCACTCATGCACGTACGCGGACGCGGACGCACGCACAGCCAACGTTTTATTATTCACACGCAACACCTGCACATCATCGTCAGCCGTGGCCAATCCACACTGCTGGACGAAGGCCCTCCCTCCCCTAGTCGGCGTCTCTCACGATCCTCATCGTTATCAGCCGCAGATGGTGGAGGAGGATGATGGGGAAGAGGATGATGAGGAGGATGAGGAAGAGGAGGTTGAGGAAGAGGAGGATGAGGAGGAAGAGGATGATGAGGATGAGGAAGAGGAGGATGAGGAGGATGAGGAAGAGGAGGATGAGGAAGAGGAGGATGAGGAAGAGGAGGATGAGGAAGAGGAGGATGATGATGAGGAGGAGGATGAAGAGGAGGATGAGGAGGAGGATGAGGAGGATGATGATGAGTAGGAGGAGAGGGTGGTGAGGAAAGCCGGGGGATATGAGAGGGGTGGAGGAGGATGAACAGGAGGAGGGAGATGCTGCAGGAGGAGACGGGAAGCTGAGGGAGGGGGAGGAGGGGAGGGAGGGGTGGAGGGGGAGGGTGGGGGTGGAGGAGGGGAGGGAGGGGTGGAGGGGGAGGGAGGAGGAGGGAGGGAGGGTGGAGGAGGAGGGAGGGGGTGTGGAGGCTATTTTGGGTGGAGCGGTGAGAGAAGAGGCACGGAGGAGGGTACAGAAAACCAGGCGCACGGAACTGGCGAGAGGACGAGCGCGCAATGGGGGAGGCTACGGCGGTGCTGATGAGCCGGTAATGCTGGTCCCTGAAGAACGTGTTTGGCTTGCTAACGACACACAGCTCGTACCCGTGTCTCCCTGTCCCCGTGTCTCCCTGTGTCTCCCTGTCCCCGTGTCTCCCTGTCCCCGTGTCTCCCTGTCCCCGTGTCTCCCTGTCCCCGTGTCTCACTGTCTCCCTGTCCCCGTGTCTCCCTGTCCCCGTGTCTCCCTGTCTCCCCGTGTCTCCCTGTCCCCGTGTCTCCCTGTCCCCGTGTCTCACTGTCTCCCTGTCCCCGTGTCTCCCTGTCCCCGTGTCTCCCTGTCTCCCCGTGTCTCACTGTCCCCGTGTCTCCCCGTGTCTCCCTGTCCCCGTGTCTCCCTGTCCCCGTGTCTCCCTGTCCCCGTGTCTCCCTGTCCCCGTGTCTCCCTGTCCCCGTGTCTCCCCGTGTCTCCCTGTCCCCGTGTCTCCCTGTCCCCGTGTCTCCCTGTCTCCCCGTGTCTCCCCGTCCCCGTGTCTCCCTGTCCCCGTGTCTCACTGTCTCCCTGTCCCCGTGTCTCCCTGTCCCCGTGTCTCCCTGTCTCCCCGTGTCTCCCCGTCCCCGTGTCTCCCTGTCCCCGTGTCTCACTGTCTCCCTGTCCCCGTGTCTCACTGTCTCCCTGTCCCCGTGTCTCCCTGTCCCCGTGTCTCCCTGTCCCCGTGTCTCACTGTCTCCCTGTCCCCGTGTCTCACTGTCTCCCTGTCCCCGTGTCTCCCTGTCCCCGTGTCTCACTGTCTCCCTGTCCCCGTGTCTCACTGTCTCCCTGTCCCCGTGTCTCCCTGTCCCCGTGTCTCCCTGTCCCCGTGTCTCACTGTCTCCCTGTCCCCGTGTCTCACTGTCTCCCTGTCCCCGTGTCTCCCTGTCCCCGTGTCTCCCTGTCCCCGTGTCTCCCTGTCCCCGTGTCTCACTGTCTCCCTGTCCCCGTGTCTCCCTGTCCCCGTGTCTCCCTGTCCCCGTGTCTCACTGTCTCCCTGTCCCCGTGTCTCCCTGTCCCCGTGTCTCCCTGTCTCCCCGTGTCTCCCCGTCCCCGTGTCTCCCCGTCCCCGTGTCTCCCCGTCTCCGTGTCTCCCCGTGTCTTCCCGTGTCTCCCCGTGTCTCCCTGTCCCCGTGTCTCCCTGTCCCCGTGTCTCACTGTCTCCCTGTCCCCGTGTCTCACTGTCTCCCTGTCCCCGTGTCTCCCTGTCCCCGTGTCTCACTGTCTCCCTGTCCCCGTGTCTCCCTGTCCCCGTGTCTCACTGTCTCCCTGTCCCCGTGTCTCACTGTCCCCGTGTCTCACTGTCCCCGTGTCTCCCTGTCCCCGTGTCTCCCTGTCCCCGTGTCTCCCTGTCCCCGTGTCTCCCTGTCCCCGTGTCTCACTGTCTCCCTGTCCTCGTGTCTCACTGTCCCCGTGTCTCCCTGTCCCCGTGTCTCCCTGTCCCCGTGTCTCCCTGTCCCCGTGTCTCCTTGTCCCCGTGTCTCCCTGTCCCCATGTCTCCCTGTCCCCGTGTCTTACTGTCTCCCTGTCCCACTGTCTCCCTGTCCCCGTGTCTCCCTGTCCACGTGTCTCCCCGTCCCCGTGTCTCCCCGTCCCCGTGTCTCCCCGTCCCCGTGTCTCCCCGTCCCCGTGTCTCCCCGTCCCCGTGTCTCCTGTCCAGCTGTCTACTGTTGTCCCCGCACCTCCGATTAGCACATGTAGCTACGTATGGTGTGAAATAATTTCAACATACACATAGCACGGTTGGCTACGTACGGTGCGAAAGAAGTTCAACAAATACACGTGCCTTCAACTCACTTGGGAAATGCTCAGCAAGCATTGCCACCCACACCACCCCATGGCAGGACCCTCTTGAAAGAGAGTCTTGAGACTGTGAGGCATTCCTGAGTAAACACGCGTGGTGGTGATGATGATGATGGTGGTGATTATGGTGGTGGTGGTGATGGTGGTGATTATGGTGGTGGTGACCATACCTGGTGCGGTGTGTAAACATCGCCACTGGGCAGACAAAGGCTGCTGGACGTGGTGCTGGCCACCCACAACCCCCTCTTCTTGTGTCATGCCTGGCTTCGTAGGCGCTTGCTAACCGCAATTGCCCCAACAGTCTGTTCAGGCTATACGGGGGATCTTTGTGATGTGGTGGGGAGTGGTGGTGTAGCTGTTAGCGCGCTGCGCTACGAACCGGGCCACCCAGGTTCGATTCCTGCTCACGGCCAACGCCAGTGATGATTATCTGAACCGGTCCTGGGCCTCCCCTAGGTCGAATCAGGTCTCAAATTATTACCTGGTGCGGTGTGTAGTAAACATCGTCACTGGGGAGATGAAGGTGGCCGGGCGTAGTGCTGGCCACCCACCCCCTCGTGTACCGTTCTGGCCTTCATAGATTCTCGCTAACTGCACTTGCCCCAACGGTCTGCTAAGACTATACGGGGGATCTTTGGTGGTCGTGGTGGTGGTGGTGATGGAGAAGGCTCGTTAAGGACGCCGCTACTGGGCAGTTTGGAGGCAGTTGCCCTCCAACAACAGCGGCAGGGCAAAGGAGCGACGCTCACAACAACGAGCCGAGCGCCGGGCGGATAAAACGCAGCGAGTTTGGCGCAGTAGGGGGACACACAGCTGGCGCATCTGCCAGTCATCTCAGTCGGTCAACCCATGGCACCTGGGTCTGTCCTGTCGCCTGTCAGCGAGACTTCGACACTTCACGTGGCCTCGGGAGTTCACCTGGCCTGGCACAGGCGCGCCGTGGCGACGTCGCCAATGGCGGCTGTTGTTGGTGGTGATGATGACTTTGGGAGTGTAATTATGTTGATTTGAAGCTTTCGTGACTGCAGGAATCCACACTCTCTGGTTCTCTCGGCAAAGTCATCACGTAGGTAGAAGCAGAATAATGGCGACGATCGCTCGTGTTGCGATCGAAAGTTCGTGATCTATTATTTTATCTACCTACGTGACTTTACCGAAAGAACCGAAGATTATAGTGATTGTGATGGTGGTGGTGGTGATCCTGGTTGTTGTGGTTCTGATATTAGTGGTGGTGGTTGGTTGGTTGTCGTTGTAGCGATGAGAAGGTAAGAGCAGCAATTTGAAGGACCCGTGTAGGCTGCGTCACGAGGGAAGACATAAAGCCAGATGGTGACGGTAATGGTGGTGATTGTGGTGGTGGTGGTGGTGATGATGATGATGATGGTGGTTGTGGTGATGGTGGTGATGATGATGGTGGTTGTGGTGATGATGATGGTGGTTGTGGTGATTACAGTGGTGTTTGTGGTGATTCTGGTGGTGGTTATGGTGATTCTGGTGGTGGGTCTGATGATGATGGTGGTTGTAGTGATGATGATGGTGGTTGTGGTGATTACAGTGGTGTTTGTGGTGATTCTGGTGGTGGTTATGGTGATTCTGCTGGTGGTTATGGTGGGTCTGATGATGATGATGGTGGTTGTGATGATGATGATGGTGGTTGTGACGATAATGATGGTGGTGGTGGTTGTGGTGGTGGTGGCAAGTTGTGGCCCACGCTGAGAAAACCCTTAACAGGGGGGGAAGGAAGCGACGGCACTGACCTTCATGGTGGTGGCCACCCCCACCCCCCCACGTCGTGCGCCGTGCCGGCCTTCGTAGGCGCTGCTGCTCGCTAGCGGCACCTGCCCCAAATGGTCTTGTCAAAGGCTACGCGTGGGTGTCTGTGTCTTCGTGTGTTGCAGGGTGCCTGTGGCTGCCCCCAGGGCTCCCCATGCGTAGGTAGGGCGGGGTGGGGAAAATGAGCATCAGCAGCGATGAAGTGAATTTCCTGGTCTACCGCTACCTGCAGGAGTCAGGTCTGTGTCTTTCGCGCGCACGCAACCGCACAACCATATCCGCATCGCACACACACACACCCACACACCCGCACACAACCGCACAACCATATCCGCATCGCACACACACACACCCACACACCCGCACACAACCGCACAACCATATCCGCATCGCACACACACACACCCGCACACAACCGCACAACCATATCCGCATCGCACACACACACACCCGCACGCAACTGCACAACCATATCCGCATCGCACACACACACACACCCGCACACAACCGCACAACCATATCCGCGTCGCACACACACACACCCGCACGCAACCGCGCAATCGCACCCGTGCGCATACACGCGCACACAACTACTCGCACACACGAGGCCACAAAGATAACGAAGACAGAGATCCCCCGTGTAGCCTTAACAGACTGTAGGGGCAAGTGCTGTTAGCGAGCACCTATGAAGGCCGGTACACGAGGGGGTGGGTGGCCAGCACCACGCCCGACCGCCTTGGTCTCCCCAGTGGCGATGTTTACTACACACCGCACCAGGTACTCATTTGAGGCTGAGTCGACCTAGGGGATGCCCGGGACGGGTTCAGATGACCCCCGTCACTGGTGTTGGCCGTGAGCGGGAATCGAACCCGGGTAGCCAGGTTCATAGCGTAGCGCTAACCGCTACGCTACCGCTCCCCACAAACACACACACCTACAGACACACACACACCTACAGACACACACACGCACCCCTATAGACACACACACGCACACCTACAGACACACACACACCTACGGACACACACACGCACCCCTATAGACACACACACGCACACCTACAGACACACACACCTACGGACACACACATGCACCCCTATAGACACACACACGCACACCTACAGACACACACACCTACAGACACACACACCTACAGACACGCACACCTACAGACACTATCGCTCCCCACAACGAGACCACACAGCCATTGCCACACACACACCACCACACAACTACGCAATCTCACCCGTGCGCATACACGCGCACACAGCTACAATCGCAATCACGCACACACAAGCACACTCGCACACAGCCACAACCTTACACCCATGCACACACAAACTACACCTGCGTGCGCGCACACCCGCATGCAGACGCACAGCTGTAATCTGCACACACAACGACACAACCACACCCGCACACAGCCACACCTGCGCACACACACAATCAATGCTTAGTGTATAGTGTCATGTATTGTGTAGTGTGTGTATTTAGAATTTATTTCACACCGTACATAGCCAACCGTGCTTAACGTAGGTGCGGGGGCGGGGGGGGGGATGGAAAAATAAACTAAACACGAAAATACGTTCTGAAGAAAGGAGTTTTCAATCTAGTAGAACGGTGTAGTGTATAGTGTAATATGTAGTGTATAGTGTTGCGTATATTAGTGTGTATTGTATTGTACAGTGTAGTGTGTAGCGTAGTATTTAGTGTATAGTTTAATGTGTATTGTAGTGTATATTGTAGTTTGTAGCCTAGTATTACTAGTGTAGCGTAGAGTGTCGTCTGTATTGTAGTGTAGTGTGTAGCCTAGTATTACTAGTGTAGTGTATAGTGTATTGTAGTGTAAGTGGTGTATAGTGTAGTGTATAGTGTCGTGTGTATTGTAGTGTAAGTGGTGTATAGTGTAGTGTATAGTGTTGTGTGTATTGTAGTGTATAGTGTAGTGTGTAGCCTAGTATACTAGTGTATTGTATAGTGTAGTGTATAGTAGTGTAGTGTATAGTGTAGTGTATGGTGTAATATTGTAGTGTAGTGTGTAGCCTAGTGTTACTAGTGTAGTGTATAGTGTCGTGTGTATTTTAGTGTATAGTAGTGTAGTGTGTAGTGTCATGTGTATTGTAGTGTATAGTGTAGTATATGGTGTAATTTTGCAGTGTGTAGTGTAGTGTGTAGCCTAGTATATTAGTGTAGTGTATAGTGTGTATTGCAGTGTATAGTGTAGTGTACGCATGTCCAACTTCTTTCTCGCCGTACCGAGCCAACCGTGCTAACCGCCCCTCCCCACCGCCACCGCCCCCGTCCCTCCCTCCCTCCCTCCCCCCAGGCTTCTCCCACTCGGCGTTCACGTTCGGCATCGAGAGCCACATCAGCCAGTCGACGATCAACGGTGCGCTGGTGCCGCCCGCCGCCCTCATCTCCATCATCCAGAAGGGGCTGCAGTACGTGGAGGCGGAGATCTCCATCAACGAGGCGGGTGCCTGCGCCGACGCGACGATTCGCGGATTAATACTGCGCGGCGACACGCGCGGTTTTACCACGTGATAAACAAGGCCGTTTCAGGCCGGCACTTGTGGCAAATGTTGGGAGGAGCGGTGGGTGGCCAGCACCACGCCCGCCCGGCCAGCCGGCCTTTGTCTCCCCCGGTGGCGATGTTTACGAACACAACACCACGCCGGGTGCTCGATTGAGGCCGAATCGACCTAGGGTGCGCACGGTGCACCGATGGGTACCGACTTAAGGCCGAGACGACCTAGGGGAGGCCCAGTTCCGTTTCGGTTTGACCGCCCAGATCCACTCAGTCCACTGTGGACTCACGGTGGCTAGGAGATGTTAACTAACCTCGCCTGGTATACAGGAGGTCAATGCCTGCTATATATTTGGAATTTGGGTGTCTCTCTCATCATCATCATCACGGTGGCAAGGAGATGTTGACTACCTCGCCTGGTATACAGGAGGTCGTGGATTCGATTGCAACCCTAATGCCTGCTGCTATATATTTGGAATTTGGGTGTCTCTCTCATCATCATCATCACGGTGGCTAGGAGATGTTGACTACCTCGCCTGGTATACAGGAGGTCGTGGGTTCGAGTGCAACCCTAATGCCTGCTATATATTTGGAATTTGGGTGTCTCTCTCATCATCATCATCACGGTGGCTAGGAGATGTTAACTACCTCGCCTGGTATACAGGAGATCGTGGATTTGATTGCAACCCTAATGCCTGCTATATATTTGGAATTTGGGTGTCTCTCTCTCATCATCATCATCACGGTGGCTAGGAGATGTTGACTACCTCGCCAGGTATACAGGAGGTCGTGGATTCGATTGCAACCCTAATGCCTGCTATATATTTGGAATTTGGGTGTCTCTCTCATCATCATCACGGTGGCTAGGAGATGTTAACCACCTCGCCTGGTATACAGGAGGTCGTGGATTCGATTGCAACCCTAATGCCTGCTATATATTTGGAATTTGGGTGTCTCTCTCATCATCATCATCATCACGGTGGCTAGGAGATGTTGACTACCTCGCCTGGTATACAGGAGGTCGTGGATTCGATTGCAACCCTAATGCCTGCTATATATTTGGAATTTTGGTGTCTCTCTCATCATCATCATCACGGTGGCTAGGAGATGTTGACTACCTCGCCTGGTATACAGGAGGTCGTGGGTTCGAGTGCAACCCTAATGCCTGCTATATATTTGGAATTTGGGTGTCTCTCTCATCATCATCATCACGGTGGCTAGGAGATGTTGACTACCTCGCCTGGTATACAGGAGGTCGTGGATTCGATTGCAACCCTAATGTCTGCTATATATTTGAAATTTGGGTGTCTCTCTCATCATCATCATCACGGTGGCTAGGAGATGTTGACTACCTCGCCAGGTATACAGGAGGTCGTGGATTCGATTGCAACCCTAATGCCTGCTATATATTTGGAATTTGGGTGTCTCTCTCTCATTATCATCATCACGGTGGCTAGGAGATGTTGACTACCTCGCCAGGTATACAGGAGGTCGTGGGTTCGATTGCAACCCTAATGCCTGCTATATATTTGGAATTTGGGTGTCTCTCTCTCATCATCATCACGGTGGCTAGGAGATGTTAACCACCTCGCCTGGTACGCAGGAGGTCGTGGGTTCGAGTGCAACCCTAATGCCTGCTATATATTTGGAATTTGGGTGTCTCTCTCTCATCATCATCACGGTGGCTTGGAGATGTTGACTACCTCGCCTGGTATACAGGAGGTCGTGGATTCGATTGCAACCCTAATGCCAGCTATATATTTGGAATTTGGGTGTCTCTCTCATCATCATCACGGTGGCTAGGAGATGTTGACTACCTCGCCGGGTATACAGGAGGTCGTGGGTTCGATTGCAACCCTAATGCCTGCTGCTATATATTTGGAATTTGGGTGTCTCTCTCTCATCATCATCACGGTGGCTAGGAGATGTTAACCACCTCGCCTGGTACGCAGGAGGTCGTGGGTTCGATCCCGACTCTGACGGTGCCTGCTGCTGCTGTATATTTTGAGTCTGCGTCTCTCTCTCTCTGTGGTCGCGTGGATTTTTCTCCGGGTCCCCCGGTTGTTTCCCTTCCACGTTTGGAATCGAACACCACCTTGCGTTTAGCAGTATTTTGGCTGTTGCTATACATTTTCCACGCTATGATGATGATGATGATGATCGGCCGCCACTTGTGTTGAGCAGCCATCGTGTGCGATGGCCAGGTGGCTTCTGGGGAAAAAAAAAAGAGATGAACGGCAGCTCAACGGGCGCTTTAATGGTTGGTTAAAATAAGAATGTGTTATCACAGTGTGTTTTTTGTTTGCATTTTGACTGCAAGTATTGTGGTGAATGCAGTAACATGAATCAAGGTAAAAAAAGGTTTCGGTTTTGTTGCCATAAAAAAAGGGGAAAACCCCCTATTATTACATTTTGGTACTGGCAAAGGGGAGGTCCTAATGATGTAAAATAAGAAACGTTTATGGGTACGAAAATTTTCTTTTAGACTTTGCATGTAGTCGCACGTGGTGTGTGCAGTGTCCCAGCGCCCTCTGCTGTGCTAAGTGACAGCTGCAGCAGCAGCAGCATCAGTATGAAAATGGGACCTTCTTGCCAGTATCAAAGTGTGAAAATATAAGAATAGTCTTCTTTGGTTCTTTCGGTAAAGTCACGTAGAATGAGAATAAAATAATAAATTGATAAAATAAAATAACACAATAATATTCTCACGAACGTTTCGGCCACAACACAAGCGGCCTTCATCAGGTGAAGGGGGCGAGACTGTCTGTGTTGTGGCCGAAAAACGATTTTTGTCATTTTATTTTTTACCTACTACGTGACTTTACCGAATAGAACCCAAAGAGGATGGATCCTTGCAGTCACGAAAGCTTCAAATCTCGAAAAATAAAATAAATCACGACTTTCCGATTGCAGCACAAGCAATCATCATCATCATCAGGTGGGGAAGAAAAAAAACCACAGCAATAATTTTGTGTTGCCGACAGGAGGCTGTATAGTTGAGAGAAGGGGGGGGGGGGGGGTGGGGGGGAGGAGCAATGGAAAGGGGTAGGTGGGGGAGCGTTTCGTGGACGCTAGCTAGGAGAGTGTGTGCGGGGCTGCAGCAACAATGCCAATGAAACACATTCTCCTGCGGGAGGGAGCTGGCGGTAGTTCGGAACGTTGGGGCTTGCCCGGTCAATGGCCAGGGTCAACAAGGGCGGCACCACCACGCGGTGGTGGTGCGTTCCGCCAACATGCCCGACTGTGAGGGCGGGCACAAGCCGGCGTGAGTAGGTTAAACGTTGAGTTTTATAAGGGGGGGCACCACGGGGTGACCAGCCCCTCCCCTGCCCACCCAGCCCCTCCCTCCCCACCCAGCCCCTCCCCACCCTCCCCTCTCCACCCAGCCCCCACCCCTCCCATTTTTGGATGCAGGACGGGCGGACGGACGGACACAATAATCCCCTGTGGGCTGGTGGTGTAACCAAGAGGTTCCTACCAGTAAAAGTACATGCCAAAGCATCTGCCAAAGCAGTAGCAATGCCAAACGCTGGGGATGCAGTTGACTCGGCAAAAAATAGACCAGTGCCCGGCAAATGTGATGGAACAACCAGAAACGGTGTTAAGGTTTTACCTGGTCAATAACATCCTTCCAGTGATTGCTGGTATGGATTCCTGCAACAACGAAAGCTTCAAATCAAGATTTAACACCTATTTTATTGCCAATAAGCGTATAAAACCCTTGACTCGAAGCTTTCGTGACTGCAGGAATTCATATTCTTTGGGTCCGTCATCAGGAAGACGGTGACGAACGCTCGTTTTGCGATCGAAACGTTGTTGTTGTCATTTTTGTTCGTTATTTTCTTCGAACCTATCTACGTGACCTTACCGAAAGACCCAAAGAACACGCGTGGAGCCTATTATTTATTCTTTATCATTCTTATTGTTGCTCGGCTACAGTGGTGAATGTTACAGGGTTGTCCAGATGTCTAGTGACCCCGCCCCCTCTCAACCCCTTGTTTAATGCTCTAAAACTTGAGGTTTCATTTAGAACAGAAATGAGCGTGTGAATTGCCACTTGGTTAGCCGAAGTCGGCCGGGCGGACGTGGTGCTAGCCCCACCAACCCCTTCCTCGTGTGCCACTGTGCCGGCCCTTCATAGGCTGCTGCTGCTGCTTGCTACTAACAGCACTTGCCCCAACAGGCTGTCAAGGCTACTCTGTGTCTTTGTGTGTATTTGTGCATGTGCGTATATGTCTCTGTGTGTGTGTGTATCTGTGCGTATATGAACCTCATAGCGGGGGCGGTAGTGTAGCGGTTAGCGCGCTGCGCTATGAACCCGGCGACCCGGGGTTCGATTCCCGCTCACGGCCAACACCGGTGACAATTATCTGAACCGGTCCCGGGCCTCCCCTAGGTCGAGTCGGCCTCAAATGAGTACCTGGTGCGGTGGATAAAAACATCGCCACTGGGGAGACAAAGGCGGTCGGGCGTGGTGCCGGCCACCCACCCCCTCGTGTGCCGTTCCGGCCTTCATAGGTGCTGCTCGCTAACAGCACTTGCCCCTACAGTCTGTTAAGGCTATATTGGGGATCTTTGTGTATAGGTGCTGCTGCTACTCGCTAACAGCACTTGCCCCTACAGCCTGTTAGAGGCTACACGGGGGATCTTTGTCTGTGTATAGGTGCTGCTGCTACTCGCTAACAGCACTTGCCCCTACAGCCTGTTAGAGGCTACACGGGTGATGTGTCTTTGTGTATATCTGTGCATGTGCGTGTATGTCTGTGTGTGTGTGTATATATATCTGAACCTTATAGCGGGCGGGGTCCCGAATAAACGAGAGTCAAAATCGTAGTTAATTAATTTTTGGCGACTCCGTCCCACCGCGCGCGGATCGTTCTGCGTTGTCGTGTCGTGCAAACGCAGCAGCGCGGACGAATGCGCAGAAGAAACAAAACTTTGAATGAGCGTATCGTGTGGAGCTCCACGAGAGGAATAGATTTGCCGTGCCGTTCGCCTTCAACAGGCATAAAATGACTTGGCAACGCAGTTTATGCGAGAGCCGTGGGGCTTATGGGACTCCCCCCCCCCCAGGGTCCCCGCCATAAGGTTAATATGTCTGTGCGTGTATATGTCTGTACTGTGTATATGCCTGCGTGTGTGTTTATCTGTGTGTGTATATATATGGGGAGCGATAGTGTAGCGGTTAGCGCTACGCTGCGCTATGAACCTGGCGACCCGGGTTCGATTCCCGCTCACGGCCAACACCAGTGACGATTATCTGAACCGGTCCCGGGCCTCCCCTAGGTCGACTCAGCCTCAAATGAGTACCTGGTGCGGTGTGTAGTAAACATTGCCACTAGGGAGACAAAGGCAGTCGGGCGTGGTGCTGGCCACCCACCCCCTCGTGTACCGTTCCGGCCTTCATAGGTGCTCGCTAACAGCACTTGCCCCTACAGTCTGTTAAGCCTATATAGGGGATCTTTGTCTTTATCTTTGTATATATATCTGCGTGTATATATGTGTCTGCGTGTGTGTGTGTGTATATCTGTGTGTGTGTATATATGTGTCTGCGTGTGTGTATATATCTGTGTGTGCGTGTGTGTATATCTGTGTGTGTATATATGTCTGCGTGTGTGTGTATATATATGCAGGGGCGGAGCCAGGGGGGGTGACGGGGGGTGACATTCTGCGTGTAAGTTGTACGACACTCGGTCTGGCGGACTCCCTGCAACTGCATTGTCAGAGTGTGTCGCCAACCGATGGCGTCTGGTTCAACAGCCTGACCCTCTAATCATTCTTGAAATAAAAATTTGTTCGAATGTCACCCCGGCCTGAAATCCTGGCTCCGCCCCTGTATATATGTCTGCGTGTGTGTATGTGTGTGTGTATATCTGTGTGTGTGTATATATATATCTGTGTGTGTGTATATATATCTGGGTGTGTGTATGTGTGTGTATCTGTGTGTGTGTGTGTATATATATCTGTGTGTGTGTGTGTGTATATCTGTGTGTGTGTCTCCGCAGGATGGCACGGTGTTTGAGGGGCGGCCCATCGACTCTTTGTCTCTCATCGACGCGGTGATGCCAGACGTGGTGTCCACGCGACAGCAAGCCTACCGTGAGAAGATAGCGCAACAGCAGCAGCAACAACAGCAGCAGCAGCAACAACAGCAGCAGCAGCAACAGCAGCAGCAGCAACAACAGCAACAACAACAGCAGCAGCAACAACAGCAGCAGCAGCAGCAGGTTAATTGCGGTGGCACGGTGATGACGTTTGAGGTCTCAGTTTAAACACGGAGGCTTTCGCGGCCCAATATTATTCGCAATGAAGGCGGTTATTTTTTTGGGTTTGGTCGCGCAAGTCTAAAAAGTGTTCTTATTTTCCTGCAAATGTAGATGCCACTGGTTCTTCATGTTTTGTAGATGTAGATGCCACTGGTTCTTCACGTTCTGCAGATGTAGACGTCGCTGGTTCTTCACACTCTCTATAGCTGTAGATGCCACTGGTTCTTCACGTTCTTTAGATTTAGATGCCACTGGTTCTTCATGTCCAGCAGATGCCACTGGTTCTTCACGCTCTCTATAGCTGTAGATGCCACTGGTTCTTCATGTCCAGCAGATGTATATGCCACTGGTTCTTCACGTTCTGTAGATGTAGATGCCACTGGTTCTTCATGTTTTGTAGATGTAGATGCCACTGGTTCTTCATGTTTTGTAGATGCCACTGGTTCTTCACGTTCTGCAGATGTAGACGTCGCTAGTTCTTCACGCTCTCTATAGCTGTAGATGCCACTGGTTCTTCACGTTCTTTAGATTTAGATGCCACTGGTTCTTCATGTCTAGCAGATGCCACTGGTTCTTCACGCTCTTTATAGCTGTAGATGCCACTGGTTCATCATGTTCTGCAGATGTAGATGCCACTGGTTCTTCATGTTCTACAGATGTAGATGCCACTGGTTCTTCACATTCTGCAGATGTCGCTGGTTCTTCACGTTCTGCAGATGTAGATGCCACTGGTTCTTCACGTTCTGCAGATGTAGATGTCACTGGTTCTTCATGTTTTGTAGATGTAGATGCCACTGGTTCTTCACGCTCTCTATAGCCGTAGATGCCACTGGTTCTTCACGTTCTCTACAGCTGTAGATGCCACTGGTTCTTCACGCTCTCTATAGCTGTAGATGCCACTGGTTCTTCACGCTCTCTATAGCTGTAGATGCCACTGGTTCTTCACGCTCTCTATAGCTGTAGATGCCACTGGTTCTTCACGCTCTCTATAGCTGTAGATGCCACTGGTTCTTCACGCTCTCTATAGCCGTAGATGCCACTGGTTCTTCACGCTCTCTATAGCTGTAGATGCCACTGGTTCTTCACGCTCTCTACAGCTGTAGATGCCACTGGTTCTTCACGCTCTCTATAGCTGTAGATGCCACTGGTTCTTCACGCTCTCTATAGCTGTGGATGTAGATGCCACTGGTTCTTCACGCTCTCTACAGCTGTAGATGCCACTGGTTCTTCAAGCTCTCTATAGCTGTGTAGATGCCACTGGTTCTTCACGCTCTCTATAGCTATAGATGCCACTGGTTCTTCACGCTCTCTATAGCTGTAGATGCCACTGGTTCTTCACGCTCTCTATAGCTGTAGATGCCACTGGTTCTTCACGCTCTCTATAGCTGTAGATGCCACTGGTTCTTCATGCTCTCTATAGCTGTAGATGCCACTGGTTCTTCACGTTCTATAGCTGTAGATGCCACTGGTTCTTCACGCTCTATAGCTGTAGATGCCACTGGTTCTTCAAGCTCTCTATAGCTGTGTAGATGCCACTGGTTCTTCACGCTCTCTATAGCTGTGTAGATGCCACTGGTTCTTCACGTTCTATAGCTGTAGATGCCACTGGTTCTTCACGCTCTCTATAGCTGTAGATGCCACTGGTTCTTCAAGCTCTCTACAGCTGTAGATGCCACTGGTTCTTTAAGCTCTCTACAGCTGTAGATGCCACTGGTTCTTCACGCTCTCTAGCTGTAGATGCCACTGGTTCTTCACACTCTCTATAGCTGTAGATGCCACTGGTTCTTCACGCTCTCTATAGCTGTAGATGCCACTGGTTCTTCACGCTCTCTATAGCTGTAGATGCCTCTGGTTCTTCACGCTCTCTATAGCTGTAGATGCCACTGGTTCTTCACGTTCTGCAGACGCCACCACCGCCATGTATTGTCGGTCGACCCCTCCGACTCTCGGCAAGAACAGGCAACTGGACGTGTTTGTTGGTATCTCTGAAAGTTCACGAGTGGAATGTTCGTGAGTGGAGGAGTCCCTGTGTACGAGTTGAGCACCTAACCAGTTGTTCTCTGTTGGCGAGTCAAAATCCACCACGATAAAATTTACACTTTTGAGTGGCTGGTGACGCTTCGCGAGAGGCCCCGCGGCAAGAATGGCCACGGTTCAATCACCCGACGCAGGCACCTTGTCTGTGTACGGCGTGAATGTTCTCTCTCCCTGTTCTATGTGTGTGTGGGGGTGGGAGCGGTCGTGTAGCGGTTAGCGCGCTGCGCTACTAAGCTGGCGAACCCGAGTTCGATTCCCGCTCACGATCAACACCGGGTGACGATTGTTGTCTGAACCGGACCTGGGTCTGCCCTAGGTCGACTCGGCCTCGAAAGATTCCTTGGTGCGGTGCGTCGTAACCGTCGCTACTGGGGAGACAAAGGCGGTCGGGCGTGGTTGCTGGTCACCCCCCACCCCCTCTCGTGTGGCACAGCGCCGGCCTTGATAGGTGCCGCTACTTGCTAACAGCACTTGCCCCAACGGTCTGTTAAGGCTGTTGGGGAAATCTTTTTCTGTGTGCGTGTCTGTGTGTGTGTGTGTGCCTGGGTGTGTGTGCCATCTGTCGGTCAATCCACGGCACCTGAGTCTGCCCCGTGACCTCCTGCCAGTGTGGGCGTTCTAACACTTGACGTGGCCTTAACGTGCACATAGCCTGGCACAAGCGCGGTGGTGACGTCACCCCCCACTTAGTGGCGATTGTCAGTTGTGTGTGAGAGTATCTGTGTTGTGTAAAGCGCAGCAAGTTGGCACAGTAGGGGGCCACTGGTGGTGCATCGGCCAGTCGTTTCAGTCAGTCGACCCGGGGCACCTGGGTCTGCCCCGTGGCCTCCTGCCAGCGGGCGTTCGACAACTTCACGTGGCCTCAACGTGCACTCGGCCTGGCACAAGCGCCGTGGTGACGTCACCGCCACTTAGGTGGCGAATGGCTGTTGTTGTTGTGTGTGTATGTATGTGTACCTATGTGTGCCTGTGTGTGGGCACCCTCTAGGTCGACTCAGCCTCTAATGAGTACCTGGTGTGGTGTGTAAGCATCATCACTGGGGAGGCAAGGGTGGTCGGGCGTGGTGTTGGCCACCCACCCCCTCGTGTGTGCCGTGCGTGCCGGCCTTCATAGGTGCTCGCTAACAGCACTTGCCCCTACAGTCTGTTAAGGCTATACGGGGGATCTTTGTCTTTGTATATCTGTGTCCGTGTGTGTATATCTGTGTCTGTGTGTGTATCTCTGTGTGTGTATATCTGTGTCTGTGTGTGTATATCTGTGTGTGTGTATATCTGTGTGTGTGTATATCTGTGTCTGTGTGTGTATCTCTGTGTGTGTATATCTGTGTGTGTATATCTGTGTGTGTATCTGCGATAGTGTAGCGGTTAGCGCGCTGCGCTATTAACCTGGCGACCCGGGTTCGATTTCCGCTCACAGCCAACACCAGGGACGATTATCTGAACCGGTGCCGGGCCTCCTCTAGGTCGACTCAGCCTCAAATGAGTACCTAGTGCGGTGTGTAAACATTGCCACTAGGGAGACAAAGGCGGTCGGGCGTGGTGCTGGCCACCCACCCCCTCGTGTACCGTTACCGGCCTTCATAGGTGCTACTCGCTAACAGCACTTGCCCCTACAGTCTGTTAAGGCTATACGGGGGATCTTTGTCTTTGTATCTGTGTGTGTGTATCTGTGTGTGTATCTGTGTGTCTGTGTGTTTGTATCTGTGTGTGTATCTGTGTGTGTGTATCTGTGTGTCTGTGTGTTTGTATCTGTGTGTGTATCTGTGTGTGTGTATCTGTGTGTCTGTGTGTTTGTATCTGTGTGTGTATCTGTGTGTGTGTATCTGTGTGTCTGTGCGTGTGTATTCTGTGTGTGTATCTGTGTGTTTATCTGTGTGTGTATCTGTGTGTGTATCTGTGTCTGTGTGTTTATCTGTGTGTGTGTATCTGTGTGTCTGTGTGTTTGTATCTGTGTGTGTATCTGTGTGTGTGTATCTGTGTGTGTATCTGTGTGTGTATCTGTGTGTGTGTATCTGTGTGTTTGTATCTGTGTGTGTATCTGTGTGTGTGTGTGTATCTGTGTGTGTGTATCTGTGTGTGTGTATCTGTGTGTCTGTGTGTTTGTATGTGTGTGTATCTGTGTGTGTGTATCTGTGTGTCTGTGTGTTTGTATCTGTGTGTGTGTATCTGTGTGTGTGTATCTGTGTGTCTGTGCGTGTGTATTCTGTGTGTGTATCTGTGTGTCTGTGCGTGTGTATTCTGTGTGTGTATCTGTGTCTGTGTGTTTATCTGTGTGTGTGTATCTGTGTGTCTGTGTGTTTGTATCTGTGTGTGTATCTGTGTGTGTATCTGTGTGTCTGTGTGTTTATCTGTGTGTGTGTCTGTGTGTGTATCTGTGTGTGTGTGTGCAGCAGACAGTAGTGGGGGTGGGTGCCCTTCCAGGACAAATGGTGAATGCGGCCAAGAACGGAGAGCCCGTGGAGAATGGGGGGCACAGCCTGTCAAGTACGTTACCCTCCACCGTTCGGGGGGTCATCATCGTCGTCGTCGTCATCAGCAGCATTGTCATCGTCATCATCATCAGCATTTTCATTGTCGTCATCATCAACATCATCAGCATTGTCATTATCGTCGTCGTCATCATCATCAGCATTGTCATTATCGTCATCATCATCATCAGCATTGTCATTATCACGTTCTCATCATCATCGTCAGCATTGTCGGTGTCATCGTCGTCGTCAGCATTATATTATTATCAGCGGCGGCGGCGGCGATATCATTTTGATCGTCATCAGCGATGTCGTCGTCGTCATCGGCGTTATCATTGTCAGCATTATTGTCGTCGTCGTCAGCTCTATCATTCGTCATCATTATCGTCAGCGTGATCATTAACATCGTCGTCGTCAGCGATTTCATTATCATCGCCGTCGTCTGCGTCATCATTGTCAGCGTGTTATCATTGTCATCATCGGCATTATTGTCATTATCATTGTCAGCGTGCGTGCCTGTGCGTGCCTGCCTGCGCGTGCGTGTGTGTGTGCCTGTGCGTGCGTGTGCGTGCGTGTGTGCGTGCGTGCCTGTGCGTGCCTGTGCGTGCGCGTGCGTGCCTGTGCGTGCGTGCCTGTGCGTGCCTGTGCGTGCGTGTACGTGCGTGCCCTTGTGCGCGCACCGCGACACAAATCCGACGACCCCCCTCCACGTTTTGCTCCCCGTTCGCAACCAAACCTCGGGGCCCCCCCCCCCCCCCCCCCCGTCGGTCGACTCAAAACGAGTCACCGGTGCGACGCGTGGGCACGGCAGTCGTCGCCACCGGGGATGCAAAAGGGGCGAGACCGGGCGCGGCGGCTGGCCCACCCACCCACCCACCCACCTCCCCTCGTGTGCCACGGGGGCGGCCGCCGATACCGCTCGCCCAACAGCCCCTCGGCCCGGCGGTCTGTTAAGCCTCCGCGCGGGGGGGGGGGGGGAACCTTCCGTCTGCGTGGTGGGGTCCGAGCAGACAGCCACGCGGACGCCATGGAGGTGGACGCCACCGACGGGGACATCGAGATCCCCCCCAGCAAGGCGACGGTGCTGCGTGGACACGAGAGCGAGGTGTTCATCTGCGCCTGGAACCCCGTGTGCGACCTGCTCGCCTCTGGGTGAGCGGCGGCGCACTCCACCGCTCGCCCACGCTCCGCTCCGCTCGCCCACTCATCCGCTCCGCTCGCCCACGCTCCGCTCCGCTCGCCCACGCTCCGCTCCGCTCGCCCACGCTCCGCTCCGCTCGCCCACGCTCTGCTCGCTCTCCCCTCATCCGCTCACGCTCGCTCGCTCGCTCACCCACGCTCCGCTCACCCACGCTCGCTCGCTCACCCACGCTCGCTCGCTCTCCCACGCTCCGCTCGCTCTCCCCTCATCCGCTCACGCTCGCTCGCTCGCTCACCCACGCTCCGCTCACCCACGCTCACTTGCTCTCGCCACGCTCGCTCGCTCACCCACGCTCCGCTCGCTCGCCCCTCATCCGCTCGCCCACGCTCGCTCGCTCACCCACGCTCACTCGCTCTCGCCACGCTCGCCACGCTTCTCACCCACGCTTCTCACCCACGCTTCCCACCCATGCTTCTCACCCACGCTTCTCACCCACGCTTCTCACCCACGCTTCTCACCCATGCTTCTCACCCACGCTTCTCACCCACGCTTCTCACCCACGCTTCTCACCCACGCTTCTCACCCACGCTTCTCACCCACGCTTCTCACCCACGCTTCTCACCCACGCTTCCCACCCACGCTTCTCACCCACGCTTCTCACCCACGCTTCTCACCCACGCTTCTCACCCACGCTTCCCACCCACGCTTCTCACCCACGCTTCCCACCCACGCTTCTCACCCACGCTTCCCACCCACGCTTCTCACCCACGCTTCTCACCCACGCTTCTCACCCACGCTTCTCACCCACGCTTCTCACCCACGCTTCTCACCCACGCTTCTCACCCACGCTTCTCACCCACGCTTCTCACCCACGCTTCTCACCCACGCTTCTCACCCACGCTTCTCACCCACGCTTCTCACCCACGCTTCTCACCCACGCTTCTCACCCACGCTTCTCACCCACGCTTCTCACCCACGCTTCCCACCCACGCTTCCCACCCACGCTTCTCACCCACGCTTCTCACCCACGCTTCTCACCCAAGCTTCTCACCCACGCTTCTCACCCACGCTTCTCACCCACGCTTCTCACCCACGCTTCTCACCCACGCTTCTCACCCACGCTTCTCACCCACGCTTCTCACCCACGCTTCCCACCCACGCTTCCCACCCACGCTTCTCACCCACGCTCGCCCTGACCGCGGCATCTCCCTTCCGGTCCAGGTCCGGAGATTCGACGGCGCGCATATGGGACCTACGGGAAGGTGGAGGTGGCGGTGGTGGCGGTGGTGGCGGTGGCGGTGGTGGCGGTGCCAATCAGCTGGTGCTGCGCCACTGCATCCGAGAGGGCGGCCAAGATGTGCCCAGCAACAAGGACGTGACGTCACTCGACTGGAACGTGCGTCGCATCTGTCTCTCTCTGTGTCTCTCTGTGTCTGTGTGTGTCTCTGTGTCTCTGTCTGTGTCTCTCTGTCTCCCTGTCTCTCTGTGTCTGTCTCTGTGTCTGTCTCCCTGTCTCTGTCTCTCTGTCTCTGTCTCTCTGTCTGTGTCTCTCTGTCTCTCTGTCTCTGTCTCTCTGTCTGTGTCTCTCTGTCTCTCTTTGTCTCTCTGTCTGTGTCTCTCTGTCTCTGTCTCTCTGTCTGTGTCTCTCTGTCTCTCTTTGTCTCTGTGTCTGTCTGTGTCTCTGTCTCCCTGTCTCTCTGTCTCCCTGTCTCTCTGTCTCCCTGTCTCTCTGTCTCCCTGTCTCTCTGTCTCCCTGTCTCTCTGTCTCCCTGTCTCTCTGTGTCTGTCTCCCTGTCTCCCTGTCTCTCTGTCTCCCTGTCTCTCTGTCTCTCTGTCTCCCTGTCTCTCTGTGTCTGTCTCCCTGTCTCTCTGTCTCCCTGTCTCTCTGTCTGTGTCTGTCTCCCTGTCTCTCTGTCTGTGTCTGTCTCCCTGTCTCTCTGTCTGTGTCTCTGTCTGTCTCTGTCTCTCTGTCTGTGTCTCTCTGTCTCTCTTTGTCTCTGTGTCTGTGTCTGTCTGTGTCTCTGTCTGTCTCTCTATGTCTGTCTCTCTTTCTGTGTCTGTCTCTCTGTCTCTCTGTCTCTCTGTCTGTGTCTCTTGTCTGTGTCTGTCTGTCTGTCTCCGTCTGTCTCTGTCTCTCTGTCTCTTGTCTCTATCTCTGTCTCTTTCTCTCTCTGTCTCTCTGTCTCTTGTCTCTCTCTGTGTCTGTCTCTCTGTGTCTGTCTGTGTCTGTCTCTGTCTGTCTCTGTGTCTCTGTCTCTCTTTGTCTCTTTGTCTCTGTGTCTGTGTCTGTCTGTGTCTCTGTCTGTCTGTCTCTCTGTCTCTGTCTCCCTGTCTCTCTGTCTGTCTGTGTCTGTCTGTCTCTCTGTCTCTCTTTGTCTCTGTGTCTGTCTGTGTCTCTGTCTCTGTCTGTCTCTCTGTCTCTTGTCTCTCTCTCTCTGTGTCTGTCTGTCTGTGTCTGTCTGTGTCTGTCTCTGTCTGTCTCTGTGTCTCTGTCTCTCTTCGTCTCTTTGTCTCTGTGTCTGTCTGTGTCTCTGTCTGTCTGTCTCTCTGTCTCTGTCTGTCTGTCTCTCTGTCTCTGTCTGTCTCCCTCCGTTCGTCTGTCTCCCTCCGTCTGTCTCCCTCCGTTCATCGTCTCTCCAGCAGGGACGTGACGTCACTCGATTGGAACGTGCAATCCCCATCTGTCCTCTCTCTCCCTCCGTGTCTCTCCGTCTGTCTGACTGTCCGTCCGTTTCTCTCCGTCTCTCTCTTCTCTCCATCTCTACTCGCTACTAACAGCACTTGCCCCAGCGCTCTCCTAAAGGCTACACGGGGGGATGTTTATCTTTTGCAGAGTGAGGGGTCACTCCTGGCGACGGGCTCCTATGATGGATTTGCTAGGATATGGACCAAAGACGGTGAGTGGGGTTCATCGTTCTCCTTCCTCCATTCGGGGCTGACATTTATTATTCTTAACGTGGGCGCCGCGGTGGCTAGGAGATGTTAACTACCTCGCCTGGTGTATAGGAGGTCGTGGGTTTGTTCCCCGACCCTGACGCCTGCTGTATCTTTGGAGTTTGCATGTCTCTCTCATCATCACCATCATCATGGTGGCGAGGAGATGTTAACTACCTCGCCTGGTGTACAGGAGGTCGTGGGTTTGTTCCCCGTCCCTGACGCCTGCTGTATCTTTGGAGTTTGCGTGTCTCTCTCATCATCACCATCATCACGGTGGCTAGGAGATGTTAACTACCTCGCCCGGTGTGCAGGAGGTCGTGGGTTTGTTCCCCGACCCTGACGCCTGCTGTATCTTTAGAGTTTGCGTGTCTCTCTCATCATCACCATCATCACGGTGGCTAGGAGATGTCAACTACCTCGCCTGGTGTACAGGAGGTTGTGGGTTTGTTCCCCGTCCCTGACGCCTGCTGTATCTTTGGAGTTTGCGTGTCTCTCTCATCATCACCATCATCACGGTGGCAAGGAGATGTTAACTACCTCGCCTGGTGTACAGGAGGTCGTGGGTTTGTTCCCCGTCCCTGACACCTTTTATATCTTTGGAGTTTGCGTGTCTCTCTCATCATCACCATCATCACGGTGGCTAGGAGATGTTAACTACCTCGCCTGGTGTACAGAAGGTCGTGGGTTTGTTCCCCGTCCCTGACGCCTGCTGTATCTTTGGAGTTTGCGTGTCTCTCTCATCATCACCATCATCACGGTGGCGAGGAGATGTTAACTACCTCGCCTGGTGTACAGGAGGTCGTGTGTTTGTTCCCCGTCCCTGACGCCTGCTGTATCTTTGGAGTTTGCATGTCTCTCTCATCATCACCATCATCACGGTGGCTAGGAGATGTCAACTACCTCGCCTGGTGTACAGGAGGTCGTGGGTTTGTTCCCCGTCCGACGCCTTTTATATCTTTGGAGTTTGCGTGTCTCTCTCATCATCACCATCATCACGGTGGCTAGGAGATGTTAACTACCTCGCCTGGTGTACAGGAGGTCGTGGGTTTGTTCCCGATCCTGACGCCTGCTGTATCTTTGGAGTTTGCATGTCTCTCTCATCATCACCATCATCACGGTGGCTAGGAAATGTTAACTACCTCGCCCGGTGTACAGGAGGTCGTGGGTTTGTTCCCCGTCCCTGACGCCTGCTGTATCTTTGGAGTTTGCGTGTCTCTCTCATCATCACCATCATCACGGTGGCTAGGAGATGTTAACTACCTCGCCCGGTGTACAGGAGGTCGTGGGTTTGTTCCCCGTCCCTGACGCCTGCTATATCTTTAGAGTTTGCGTGTCTCTCTCTACCCGTGGTGGTTGCGTGGATTTTTCTCCGGGCCCTGCGTTTTTTTTTCCCCCTCCACATTTAGAATCGACGTCACGCGTCTTGGGCTATTTGGCGGCTGCTATAAATGTACGCGTGATGACGACGATGATGATGATGATAATCCGCCACTTCGTGTGAGCCATCGTTTGTGATAGCCAGGGGGTCGCTTCTGAAAAAGAGCGACGTACCACCACAGTGGTGCCTTGATTGGTAAAAAATTTTTAACTTGTATGTCACCGATCAGCTTAAAGTTCATTTAACACTGAGATAACTTGCTGATTCATAATTCCATAGAGACGAAACATTGTTTGTTCGGTGGTGGTGGTGGTGGTGGCGTTGATGACGGCGGTGATGGTGATGGCGGTGATAGTGGTGGCGGTGGTGATGACGGTGGTGGTTATGGTGATTGCGGTGGTGACGATGGCGTTGGTGGTGGTGGCGGTGGTGATGATGATGATTATGGTGGTGATGACGGCGGTGGTGGTGATGGCGGTGATGGTAGTGGCGGTGGTGGCGATGACGGTGGTGTTGATGACGGTGGCGTTGATGGTGGTGGCGTTGATGGTGGTGGCGTTGATGGTGGTGGCGTTGATGGTGGTGGCGTTGATGGTGATGACGGTGGTGGCGAAGGTGGCGAAGGTGGAGGTGGTGATGGCGATGGTGGTGGTGATGACAGTGAGGAAATGGTGGCAAAGATGGAGGTGGTGATGACGGTGATGGCGATGGTGGCGGCGGTGGTGATGGCGATGGTGATGGTGGCGGTGGTGATGGCGATGGTGATGGTGGCGGTGGTGATGGCGATGGCGGTGGTGATGGCGATGGTGGTGGTGATGGTGACGTGCCCCTCCCGTGTCTGTCAGGGAACCTTGCCAGCACGCTGGGGCAGCACAAGGGCCCCATCTTCGCGCTGAAGTGGAACAAGCGGGGAAACTACATCCTGAGTGCCGGCGTCGACAAGGTGGAGCGCGCGGCCGCGTCTACACGCACGCCACACACCACACACACACACCACACACACCACACACACCACACACACCACACACACACACCACACACGCACGCCACACGCCCCACACGCCACACACACACACACCACACACACACACACCACACACACACCACACACGCACGCCACACACGCACGCCACACACGCACGCCACACACGCACGCCACACACACCACACACGCACGCCACACACGCACGCCACACTCACACACGCCACACACACACGCCACACACACCACACACACACGCCACACACGCACACCGCACGCCACACGCCACGCACGCCACACACGCACACCACACACACACACCACACACGCACCACACACGCACCACACTCACACCACACACACACACCACACACACACACCACACACGCACCACACACGCACCACACTCACACCACACACGCACACCACACACGCACGCCACACGCACACCACACACACCACACGCACGCCACACACACGCCACAAATGCACGCACACATGCACACACCATTTGTCCATCTGTTCATACGTGTATGTAGCGTGTGTGTATAACGTGTCTTTAGCGCACGTATATATAGTGCGTGTGTAGCGCGTGTGTATAGCGTGTCAATAACGTGTATAGCGTGTATATATAGCGCGTGTGTATAGCGTGTCTATAACGTGTATAGCGTGTGTATATAGCGTGTCTATAACGTGTATAGCGTGTCTATAACGTGTATAGCGTGTACATATAGCGCGTGTGTATATATAGCGCGTGTCTATAACGTGTATAGCGTGTATATATAGCGCGTGTGTATAGCGTGTCTATAACGTGTATAGTGTGTATATATAGCGCATGTGTATAGCGTGTCTATAACGTGTATAGCGTGTATATATAGCGCGTGTGTATAGCGTGTCTATAACGTGTATAGCGTGTCTATAACGTGTGTATAGCGCGTGAATCACAGATGTAACGTGTGTGTTTAGCGTGTGTATAGTGTGTGTAAAGTATGTGTTTAGTGTGTGTTTAGCGTGTGTATAGTGTGTGTAAAGTATGTGTTTAGTGTGTGTAGTGCGTGTGTATAACTTGTGTGTGCGTGTCTTCTTGTAGACGACCATCATTTGGGACGCTCACACGGGAGAGGCCAAACAGCAGTTCCCCTTCCACTCTGGTACGTGTGTGAGTGTGTGTACGTGTGCGTGAGCGTGTACGTGTGCGAGTGTGTGTACGTGTGTGTGAGCGTGTACGTGTGTGTGAGCATGTGTGTGTGAGCGTGTATGTGTGTGTGAGCATGTGTGTGAGCGTGTACGTGTGTGCGAGCATGTGTGTGAGCGTGTACGAGTGTGTGTGCGTGTGTGTGTACGAGTGTGTGTACGTGTGTGTGTACGAGTGTGTGTGCGAGTGTGTACGAGTGTGTGTGAGCGTGTACGAGTGTGTACGAGTGTGTGTGAGCGTGTACGTGTGTGTGAGCGCGTGTACGAGTGTGTGTACGTGTGTGTGAGCGTGTACGTGTGTGTGAGCGTGTACGTGTGTGTGAGCGTGTACGTGTGTGTGAGCGTGTACGTGTGTGTGAGCGTGTACGGGTGTGTGTGCGTGTGTGTGTGAGCGTGTGTGTGTGAGCGTGTGTACGAGTGTGTGAGCGTGTGTGTGAGCGTGTGTGTGAGCGTACGTGTGTGACCGTGTGCGCGAGCGTGTGCGTGTGTGTGTGTACGTGTGTGTGTACGTGTGTGTGTACGTGAGTGTGTACGTGAGTGGGCACTCATTGTGGTGAGTGAGTGGGCACTTAACCATGCGAGCGAGGGTGAGCGGCTCCTCACCGTGGCGGGTGAGCGGCTCCTCACCGTGGCGGGTGAGCGGCTCCTCACCGTGGCGGGTGAGCGGCTCCTCACCGTGGCGGGTGAGCGGCTCCTCACCGTGGCGGGTGAGCGGCTCCTCACCGTGGCGGGTGAGCGGCTCCTCACCGTGGCGGGTGAGCGGCTCCTCACCGTGGCGGGTGAGCGGCTCCTCACCGTGGCGGTTCATCCCCCACAGCCCCAGCGCTGGACGTGGACTGGCAGAGCAACACCAGCTTTGCCTCGTGCAGCACGGACATGTGCATCCACATCTGCCGCCTGGGCGCCGACCGGCCAATCAAGACCTTCCAGGGTCACACGGTACGGGGGTGAGGGGGCGGGGGGAGACACTGTGGGGGTGGGTGGGGGAGCGGGGGTGGTGCAGTGAGACACGCGGGGAGACACGGGGTGGGGGCGGGGGGGGGGGGCGCACGGGGGCACGCAATAGGGGGAGACACGGGAACACGCAGGGACACACGGGGACACGCAGGGAGGCAGGGAGACACACAGGGAGGCAGGGAGACACTCGGGGACATGCAGGGACACACGCAGGGAGACACGGAGACATGCAGGGAGGCAGGGAGACACACAGGGAGGCAGGGAGACACTCGGGGACATCCAGGGAGACACGCAGGGCGACACGGAGACATGCAGGGAGGCAGGGAGACACTCGGGGACATGCAGGGAGACACGCAGGGACACACGGGGACATGCAGGGAGACATGCAGGGAGACACGGGGACATGCAGGGAGACACGGAGACATGCAGGGAGGCAGGGAGACACTCGGGGACATGCAGGGAGACACGCAGGGACACACGGGGACATGCAAGGAGACACGCGGGGAGACAGGGACGCGCTTGAAGACACGGGGACATGTAGGGAGAGACACGGGGGGGGGCACGGGGGACGTGTAGGGAGACGCACGGGGACACATTGGGGGGGCCTTAAATGAGTACCCCAGGTACCCGGTGCGTTTTGTAAACATCGCCACGGGAGAGACAAAGACGGCCGGGCGTGGTGCCGGCCACCCACCCCCCCCCCCCCCCCCCCCCCCCGTGGTGCGCCACCGTGTGCCGGCTTTCGTAGGCCCTGCCTCTCTACTCGCCGACGGCGGCTCCTTCACCACCACCCCCCCTCCCCCACGCTTTGTCGAGGCTACCCAGGTGACCTTTGTCTTTGTGCCGTCTCCGACAGAACGAGGTGAACGCCATCAAGTGGGACCCCTCGGGGTCGTTGCTCGCATCCTGCTCCGATGACATGACGCTCAAGGTGGGGGGCCGAACCCGTCGCACGCACCTCGCTCGCTCGCTCGCGTCACCGTACTCGCTTTACTCACCGCGTTTGCCGCGCTCGCCGCGCTCACCGCGTTCACCACACTCAACTCGCTCGCCTCGCTCACCTCGCCGCAACTCATCTCACCGCACTCGCCGCACTCACCGCGTTCACCACGTTCACCACGCTCACCACACTCAACTCGCTCGCCTCGCTCACCTCGCCGCACTCATCTCACCGCACTCGCCGCACTCATCTCACCGCACTCGCCGCACTCACCACACTCACCACACTCATCTCGCTCACCTCACTGACCTCGCCGCAACTCATCTCACCCCACTCGCCCCACTCGGCTCACTCGCCACACTCACCACACTCACCACACTCAACTCGCTCAACTCGCTCACCTCGCCGCACTCATCTCACCGCGCTCACCGCGCTCACCGCGCTCACCGCGCTCACCGCGCTCACCGCGCTCAACTCGCTCAACTCGCTCGCCTCGCTCACCTCGCCGCAACTCATCTCACCGCACTCGCCCCACTCGGCTCACTCACCACACTCGCCCCACTCACCACACTCGCCCCACTCACCACACTCACCACACTCACCACACTCGCCCCACTCACCACACTCACCACACTCAACTCGCTCGCCTCACACTGGGTACGTGGCGTGTCGTGTGATCAGCAATGGGGAGACAAAGGTGGCCGGGCGGGCGTGGTGCTGGCCACCCACCCCTACATGTGCTACAATGTCTGTTAAACCACCCACCCCTACATGTGCTACAATGTCTGTTAAACCACCCACCCCTACATGCACTACAATGTCTGTTAAACCACCCACCCCTACATGCACTACAGTATCTGTTAAACCACCCACCCCTACATGCACTACAATGTCTGTTAAACCACCCACCCCTACATGCACTACAGTATCTGTTAAACCACCCACCCCTACATGCACTACAATGTCTGTTAAACCACCCACCCCTACGTGCACTACAATGTCTGTTAAACCACCCACCCCTACATGCACTACAGTGTCTGTTAAACCACCCACCCCTACATGCACTACAATGTCTGTTAAACCACCCACCCCTACATGCACTACAGTATCTGTTAAACCACCCACCCCTACATGTGCTACAATGTCTGTTAAACCACCCACCCCTACATGCACTACAATGTCTGTTAAACCACCCACCCCTACATGTGCTACAATGTCTGTTAAACCACCCACCCCTACATGCACTACAATGTCTGTTAAACCACCCACCCCTACATGCACTACAATGTCTGTTAAACCACCCACCCCTACATGTGCCACAGTGTCTGTTAAACCACCCACCCCTACATGCACTACAATGTCTGTTAAACCACCCACCCCTACATGCACTACAGTCTCTGTTAAACCACCCACCCCTACATACGCTACAATGTCTGTTAAACCACCCACCCCTACATGCACTACAATGTCTGTTAAACCACCCACCCCTACATGTGCCACAGTGTCTGTTAAACCACCCACCCCTACATGCACTACAATATCTGTTAAACCACCCACCCCTACATGCACTACAGTGTCTGCTAAACCACCCACCCCTACATGCACTACAGTGTCTGCTAAACCACCCACCCCTACATGCACTACAATGTTTGTTAAACCACCCACCCCTACATGCACTACAATGTCTGTTAAACCACCCACCCCTACATGCGCTACAATGTCTGTTAAACCACCCACCCCTACATGCACTACAATGTCTGTTAAACCACCCACCCCTACATGCGCTACAGTGTCTGTTAAACCACCCACCCCTACATGCACTACAATGTCTGTTAAACCACCCACCCCTACATGCACTACAATGTCTGTTAAACCACCCACCCCTACATGCGCTACAGTGTCTGTTAAACCACCCACCCCTACATGCACTACAATGTCTGTTAAACCACCCACCCCTACATGCGCTACAATGTCTGCCTTCGTAGGTGCTGCCTCTACTCTACTAACGGCACTTGCCCCAACGGTCTTGTCGAGGCTATATGGTGGGGGATCTTTGTGTGTGTGTGTTTGTGTGTGTGTGTTTGTGCGTGTGGGTCTCTGTGTGCGCGAGAGACAAAGGCGGCCAGTCGGGCGTAGTGCTGTCTACCCCACCCCCTCCCTCGTGTGCTGTACCTACCTTCACAGGTGCTGGTCACCCACCCCCTCATGTGCTGTACCTACCTTGACAGGTGGTGCCTACCCCACCCCCTCGTGTGCTGTACCTACCTTCACAGGTGGTGCCTACCCTACCCACCCCCTCGTGTGCTGTACCTACCTTCACAGGTGCTGCCTACCCTATCCCCTCGTGTGCTGTACCTACCTTCACAGGTGCTGGCCACCCACCCCCTCGTGTGCTGTACCTACCTTGACAGGTACTGCCTACCCACCCACCCCCTCGTGTGCTGTACCTACCTTCACAGGTGGTGCCTACCCCACCCCCTCGTGTGCTGTACCTACCTTGACAGGTGGTGCCTACCCCACCCCTCGTGTGCTGTACCTACCTTGACAGGTGCTGGCCACCCACCCCCTCGTGTGCTGTACCTACCTTGACAGGTGGTGCCTACCCCACTCCCTCGTGTGCTGTACCTACCTTCACAGGTACTGCCTACCCCACCCCTCGTGTGCTGTACCTACCTTCACAGGTGTTGCCTACCCCACCCCTCGTGTGCTGTACCTACCTTGACAGGTGCTGCCTACCCCACCCCCTCGTGTGCTGTACCTACCTTGACAGGTGCTGGTCACCCACCGCCTCGTGTGCTGTACCTACCTTCACAGGTGCTGGTCACCCACCCCCTCGTGTGCCGTACCTACCTTGACAGGTGGTGCCTACCCACCCACCCCCTCGTGTGCTGTACCTACCTTGACAGGTGGTGCCTACCCACCCACCCCCTCGTGTGCTGTACCTACCTTCACAGGTGTTGCCTACCCACCCACTCCCTCGTGTGCTGTACCTACCTTCACAGGTGTTGCCTACCCACCCACTCCCTCGTGTGCTGTACCTACCTTGACAGGTGTTGCCTACCCACCCACTCCCTCGTGTGCTGTACCTACCTTCACAGGTGTTGCCTACCCACCCACTCCCTCGTGTGCTGTACCTACCTTCACAGGTGCTGGTCACCCAAGACCTCGTGTGCTGTACCTACCTTGACAGGTGCTGGTCACCCACCCCCTCGTGTGCTGTACCTACCTTGACAGGTGGTGCCTACCCCACTCCCTCGTGTGCTGTACCTACCTTCACAGGTACTGCCTACCCCACCCCCTCGTGTGCTGTACCTACCTTGACAGGTGTTGCCTACCCCACTCCCTCGTGTGCTGTACCTACCTTCACAGGTGGTGCCTACCCACCCCCTCGTGTGCTGTACCTACCTTCACAGGTACTGCCTACCCTACCCCACCCCCTCGTGTGCTGTACCTACCTTCACAGGTGTTGCCTACCCACCCACCCACTCGTGTGCTGTACCTACCTTCACAGGTACTGCCTACCCACCCACCCCCTCGTGTGCTGTACCTACCTTCACAGGTACTGCCTACCCTACCCCACCCCCTCGTGTGCTGTACCTACCTTCACAGGTACTGCCTACCCTACCCCACCCCCTCGTGTGCTGTACCTACCTTCACAGGTGTTGCCTACCCACCCACCCCCTCGTGTGCTGTACCTACCTTCACAGGTGCTGCCTACCCCACCCCTCGTGTGCTGTACCTACCTTCACAGGTGCTGCTACTCGCTACGAACAGCGCTGGCCCCGACAGTCTGTTAAAGGCTGCCCACGGGATCTGTGTGTGCGTGTGTGCGTGTGTGCAGATTTGGAGCATGAAGCAGGATGCATGCGTGCACGACCTGCAGGCGCACAGCAAGGAGATCTACACCATCCGCTGGAGCCCCACGGGGCCAGGGACCAGCAACCCCAACGCCAACCTCATGCTAGCCAGGTGAGTGGTGGTGGTGGTGGCAGCGGTAGTCGGAGACACGTTCACACCTGTGTGTGTCGTAGCCTGTGTGTGTGTGTGTGCGTCACCGTGTGTGTGTGTCGTAGCCTGTGTGTGTGTCACCGCGTGTGTGTGTGTGTGTGTCACCGCGCGTGTGTGTGTGTGTGTGTCACCGCGTGTGTGTGTGTGTGCGTCACCGCGCGTGTGTGTGCGTCACCGCGTTTGTGTGTGTGTGTGTGTGCGTCACCGCGTGTGTGTGTGTGCGTCACCGCGTGTGTGTCACCGTGTGTGTGTGTGCGTCACCGTGTGTGTGTGTGTGCGTCACCGTGTGTGTGTGTGTGTGCGTCACCGTGTGTGTGTGTGCGTCACCGTGTGTGTGTGTGTGCGTCACCGCGTGTGTGTGTGTGCGTCACCGCGTGTGTGCGCGTCACCGCGTGTGTGTGTGTGCGTCACCGCGTGTGTGTGTGTGTGTGTGTGCGTCACCGTGTGTGTGTGTGCGCGTCACCGCGTGTGTGTGTGTGTGCGTCACCGCGTGTGTGTGTGTGTGCACGTCACCGCGCGTGTGTGTGTGTGTGCGTCACCGCGTGTGTGTGTGCGTCACCGTGTGTGTGTGCGTCACCGCGCGTGTGTGTGTGTGTGTCACCGTGTGTGTGTGCGTCACCGTGTGTGTGTGTGCGTCACCGCGTGTGTGTGTGTGTGCGTCACCATGCGTGTGCGCGCATCACCGCGCGTGTGTGCGTCACCGTGTGTGTGTGTGTGCGTCACCGTGTGTGTGTGCGTCACCGTGTGTGTGTGTGTGCGTCACCGTGTGTGTGTGTGTGCGTCACCGTGTGTGTGTGTGTGTGTCACCGTGTGTGTGTGCGTCACCGTGTGTGTGTGTGTGTGTGCGTCACCGCGTGTGTGTGTGTGCGTCACCGCGTGTGTGTGTCTGTGCGTCACCGTGTGTGTGTGTGCGTCACAGTGTGTGTGTGTGTGCGTCACCGTGTGTGTGTGCGTCACCGCGTGTGTGTGTGTGTGTCACCGCGTGTGTGTGTGTGTGCGTCACCGCGTGTGTGTGTGCGTCACCGTGTGTGTGTGTGTGCGTCACTGTGTGTGTGTGTGCGTCACCGTGTGTGTGTGTGCGTCACCGTGTGTGTGTGTGCGTCACCGTGTGTGTGTGTGCGTCACCGCGTGTGTGTGTGCGTCACCGCGTGTGTGTGCATCATCGCGTGTGTGTGTGTGTGCGTCACCGCGTGTGTGTGTGTGTGCGTCACTGTGTGTGTGTGTGCGCGTCACCGTGTGTGTGTGTGTGCGCGTCACCGTGTGTGTGTGTGTGCGCGTCACCGCGTGTGTGTGTGTGTGTGTGCGTCACTGCGTGTGTGTGTGCGTCACCGCGTGTGTGTGTGTGTGCGTCACCGCGTGTGTGTGTGCGCGTCACCGCGTGTGTGCGCGCGTCACCGCGTGTGTGTGTGTGTGTGCGTCACCGCGTGTGTGTGTGCGTCACCGCGTGTGTGTGTGTGTGTGCGTCACCGCGTGTGTGTGTGCGCGTCACCGCGTGTGTGTGCGCGTCACCGCGTGTGTGTGCGCGTCACCGCGCGTGTGTGTGTCACCGCGTTTGTGTGTGTGTGCGTCACCGTGTGTGTGTGCGTCACCGTGTGTGTGTGTTGCCAGCGCGTCGTTTGACTCGACGGTGCGGCTGTGGGACGTGGACCGGGGAATCGGCATCCACACCCTCACCAAGCACCAGGAGCCCGTGTACAGCGTCGCCTTCAGCCCCGACGGGAAGTACCTGGCCAGCGGCTCCTTCGACAAGTGTGTCCACATATGGAACACGCAGGTGAGTGAGACCCGGGGTGAGAGTGAGACTCGGGGAGAGAGAGACCCAGGGAGAGAGAGATCCAGGGAGAGAGAGACACAGGGAGAGAGAGACACAGGGAGAGAGAGACACAGGGAGATGGAGACAGGGAGAGAGAGACTCAGGGAGAGAGAGACACAGGGAGATGGAGACAGGGAGAGAGAGACTCAGGGAGAGAGAGACACAGGGAGAGAGAGACACAGGGAGATGGAGACAGGGAGAGAGAGACCCAGGGAGAGAGAGACTCAGGGAGAGAGAGACACAGGGAGATGGAGACAGGGAGAGAGAGACACAGGGAGAGAGACTCAGGGAGAGAGAGACTCAGGGAGATGGAGACAGGGAGAGAGAGACTCAGGGAGAGAGAGGCACAGGGAGAGAGAGGCACAGGGAGAGAGAGACACAGGGAGAGAGAGACTCAGGGAGAGAGAGACTCAGGGAGAGAGAGACTCAGGGAGAGAGAGACACAGGGAGAGAGAGACACAGGGAGAGAGAGAGAGACTCAGGGAGAGAGAGAGACACAGGGAGAGACTCAGGGAGAGAGAGACACACAGGGAGAGAGAGACACAGGGAGATGGAGACAGGGAGAGAGAGACCCAGGGAGAGAGAGACTCAGGGAGAGAGAGACACAGGGAGATGGAGACAGGGAGAGAGAGACACAGGGAGAGAGACTCAGGGAGAGAGAGACTCAGGGAGATGGAGACAGGGAGAGAGAGACTCAGGGAGAGAGAGGCACAGGGAGAGAGAGGCACAGGGAGAGAGAGACACAGGGAGAGAGAGACTCAGGGAGAGAGAGACTCAGGGAGAGAGAGACTCAGGGAGAGAGAGACACAGGGAGAGAGAGACACAGGGAGAGAGAGAGAGACTCAGGGAGAGAGAGAGACACAGGGAGAGACTCAGGGAGAGAGAGACACACAGGGAGAGAGAGACACAGGGAGAGAGAGACCCAGGGAGAGAGAAACCCAGGGTGAGAGAGAAACCCATGGTTAGAGAGAGACCCAGGGAGAGAGAGACCCAGGGTGAGAGAGAGACCCAGGGTGAGAGAGAGACCCAGGGTGAGAGAGAGACCCAGGGTGAGAGAGAGACCCTGGGTGAGAGAGAGACACAGGGTGAGAGAGAGACCCAGGGTGAGAGAGAAACCCATGGTTAGAGAGAGACCCATGGTTAGAGAGAGACCCAGGGAGAGAGAGACCCAGGGTGAGAGAGAGACCCAGGGTGAGAGAGAGACCCAGGGAGAGAGAGACCCTGGGTGAGAGAGAGACCCAGGGAGAGAGAGACCCTGGGTGAGAGAGACCCTGGGTGAGGTTGACATGCTTGTCTGTGTGTTCTTGTCTCCCTGTGTGTACGTCCCTGTGTGTACGTCCCTGTGTGTACGCGTGTCCCCCTGTGTGTACGCGTGTCCCCCTGTGTGTGTGTGCGCGTGTGCGCGTGTATCTCTGCGGTGTGCGCACAGACGGGCTGCCTGGTGCACAGCTACCGGGGCACGGGGGGCATCTTCGAGGTTTGCTGGAACTCGTCGGGCGACAAAGTCGGGGCAAGCGCCAGCGACGGATCGGTAAGATGGCCAAAGATGAGTCGGGGGGGGACTCGCCAGGAAGCGGCGATCGCACTCCACCGCGAGTTCTTGCCGACGGACGAGCGAGCGAGCGTTAAACATCGGCACTTGCCGGCTTTGGTAGGCGGTGCCGCTACTCACAGCTAAGTTGACGGCACAAATCCCACCCCCCCCCCCCCCACTTGGCGCGAGAAGAGCACACAGATGATGCCGTCACATATCTACGCCTCGATTTAATGGACAAATCTGTCCGTCGCCGGATGAAGCTGGTTGTAATTACTGGCGAAACGTCGTGACTTGGATTGTAAATGTTTGTGGCTTGGCTCGCCAACACACAGCAACCGGTTAGTGCTGTACTAGTAACGAATTGTGAATGTTGTAGTGGGTTTAACTCTCCAACACACAGCAACCGGTTAGTGCTGTACTTGGTAACGAATTGTAAATGTAGTAGTGGGTTTAACTCTTCAACACACAGCAACCGGTTAGTGCTGTACTAGTAACGAATTGTAAATGTTGTAGTGGGTTTAACTCTCCAACCCACAGCAACCGGTTAGTGCTGTACTTGGTAACGAATTGTAAATGTTGTAGTGGGTTTAACTCTGCAACACACAGCAACCGGTTAGTGCTGTACTTGGTAACGAATTGTGAATGTTGTAGTGGGTTTAACTCTGCAATACACAGCAACCGGTTAGTGCCGTACTAGTAACGAATTGTAAATGTAGTAGTGGGTTTAACTCTCCAACACACAGCAACCGGTTAGTGCTGTACTTAGTAACGAATTGTAAATGTTGTAGTGGGTTTAACTCTCCAACACACAGCAACCGGTTAGTGCTGTACTAGTAACGAATTGTGAATGTTGTAGTGGGTTTAACTCTTCAACACACAGCAACCGGTTAGTGCTGTACTTGGTAACGAATTATAAATGTTGTAGTGGGTTTAACTCTCCAACACACAGCAACCGGTTAGTGCTGTACTAGTAACGAATTGTAAATGTTGTAGTGGGTTTAACTCTGCAACACACAGCAACCGGTTAGTGCCGTACTAGTAACGAATTGTAAATGTAGTAGTGGGTTTAACTCTCCAACACACAGCAACCGGTTAGTGCTGTACTTAGTAACGAATTGTAAATGTTGTAGTGGGTTTAACTCTCCAACACACAGCAACCGGTTAGTGCTGTACTAGTAACGAATTGTGAATGTTGTAGTGGGTTTAACTCTTCAACACACAGCAACCGGTTAGTGCTGTACTTGGTAACGAATTATAAATGTTGTAGTGGGTTTAACTCTCCAACACACAGCAACCGGTTAGTGCTGTACTAGTAACGAATTGTAAATGTTGTAGTGGGTTTAACTCTCCAACACACAGCAACCGGTTAGTGCTGTACTAGTAACGAATTGTAAATGTAGTAGTGGGTTTAACTCTCCAACACACAGCAACCGGTTAGTGCTGTACTAGTAACGAATTGTAAATGTTGTAGTGGGTTTAACTCTCCCAACACACAGCAACCGGTTAGTGTTGTACTAGTAACGAATTGTAAATGTAGTAGTGGGTTTAACTCTCCAACACACAACAACCGGTTAGTGCTGTACTAGTAACGAATTGTAAATGTTGTAGTGGGTTTAACTCTCCAACACACAACAACCGGTTAGTGCTGTACTAGTAATGAATTGTGAATGATGTAGTGGGTTTAACTCTCCAACACACAGCAACCGGTTAGTGCTGTACTAGTAATGAATTGTGAATGTTGTAGTGGGTTTAACTCTCCAACACACAGCAACCGGTTAGTGCTGTACTAGTAACGAATTGTAAATGTTGTAGTGGGTTTAACTCTCCAACACACAGCTGGTTAGTGCTGTACTAGTAACGAATTGTAAATGTTGTAGTGGGTTTAACTCTCCAATACACAGCAACCGGTTAGTGCTGTACTAGGTAACGAATTGTAAATGTAGTAGTGGGTTTAACTCTCGCAACACACAGCAACCGGTTAGTGCTGTACTAGTAACGAATTGTAAATGTAGTAGTGGGTTTAACTCTCCAACACACAGCAACCGGTTAGTGCTGTACTAGTAACGAATTGTAAATGTAGTAGTGGGTTTAACTCTCCAACACACAGCAACTGGTTAGTGCTGTACTAGTAACGAATTGTAAATGTAGTAGTGGATTTAACTCTCCCAACACACAGCAAGCGGTTAGTGCTGTACTAGTAACGAATTGTAAATGTAGTAGTGGGTTTAACTCTCCAACACACAGCAACCGGTTAGTGCTATACTAGTAACGAATTGTAAATGTTGTAGTGGGTTTAACTCTCCAACACACAGCAACCGGTTAGTGCTGTACTAGTAACGAATTGTAAATGTTGTAGTGGGTTTAACTCTCCAACACACAGCAAGCGGTTAGTGCTGTACTAGTAACGAATTGTGAATGTTCTAGTGGGTTTAACTCTACAACACACAGCAACCGGTTAGTGCCGTACTTAGTAACGAATTGTAAATGTTGTAGTGGGTTTAACTCTGCAACACACAGCAACCGGTTAGTGCCGTACTTAGTAACGAATTGTAAATGTTGTAGTGGGTTTAACTCTCCAACACACAGCAACCGGTTAGTGCTGTACTAGTAACGAATTGTAAATGTTGTAGTGGGTTTAACTCTCCCAACACACAGCAACCGGTTAGTGCTGTACTTGGTAACGAATTGTAAATGTTGTAGTGGGTTTAATTCTCCAACACACAGCAACCGGTTAGTGCTGTACTTAGTAACGAATTGTAAATGTTGTAGTGGGTTTAACTCTCCAACACACAGCAACCGGTTAGTGCCGTACTTAGTAACGAATTGTAAATGTTGTAGTGGGTTTAACTCTGCAACACACAGCAACCGGTTAGTGCTGTACTAGTAACGAATTGTGAATGTTGTAGTGGGTTTAACTCTCCAACACACAGCAACCGGTTAGTGCTGTACTTAGTAACGAATTGTAAATGTTGTAGTGGGTTTAACTCTCACAACACACAGCAACCGGTTAGTGCTGTACTTAGTAACGAATTGTAAATGTTGTAGTGGGTTTAACTCTGCAACACACAGCAACCGGTTAGTGCTGTACTAGTAACGAATTGTAAATGTTGTAGTGGGTTTAACTCTCCAACACACAGCAACCGGTTAGTGCCGTACTAGTAACGAATTGTAAATGTAGTAGTGGGTTTAACTCTCCAACACACAGCAACCGGTTAGTGCTGTACTTAGTAACGAATTGTAAATGTTGTAGTGGGTTTAACTCTCACAACACACAGCAACCGGTTAGTGCTGTACTTAGTAACGAATTGTAAATGTTGTAGTGGGTTTAACTCTGCAACACACAGCAACCGGTTAGTGCTGTACTAGTAACGAATTGTAAATGTTGTAGTGGGTTTAACTCTGCAACACACAGCAACCGGTTAGTGCTGTACTAGTAACGAATTGTAAATGTAGTAGTGGGTTTAACTCTCACAACACACAGCAACCGGTTAGTGCTGTACTAGTAACGAATTGTAAATGTTGTAGTGGGTTTAACTCTCGCAACACACAGCAACCGGTTAGTGCCGTACTAGTAACGAATTGTAAATGTTGTAGTGGGTTTAACTCTGCAACACACAGCAACCGGTTGGTGCTGTACTTGGTAACGAATTGTGAATGTTGTAGTGGGTTTAACTCTCACAACACACAGCAACCGGTTAGTGCTGTACTAGTAACGAATTGGCCACGTTCTCTTTGCGTGACAGAACCCCCTCACCAATTGGCCTCGGCGGAGTCCGAACGACGCAAAACCAACATTCCTACGACAAAGTCGCTCGGGAAGAAATACATTTGAGTAACGGTTTCATTTCTGCGTGACTTTACCGAAAGAACCAACGGCTGATTCCCGCGGCCACGAAAAGCCTCGAATCTAGTTTGAAACCTGTTGCATATATTCACAAGCGCCATTTAACTCCTCCCCAGCCTCCCCGCACAACAAACGCGCCTGTGTTATGGAGCACTTGCCCGCCGGTCCGATGAAGGCTCTACGTGGTGGTGGTGGTGGTGGTGTGCCCCGTGTTTGTTGTGCTCCGTGTTTGTTGTGCTCCGCGCGTGTGCAGGTGTGCGTGCTGGATCTTAGGAAGTAGCTGTTGCGGAGACCGACGGAGGGAGGGCGGGCGGGGGGGGGGGGGGGCGGGGGGCGACCGACGGTGAATGTGTAAATAATAATAATAACGTTAAAAATAAACAACAACAACGACAACGACAACAACAACAACGGCAAGATGGTGGTGGTGGCGGCGCAAGGACCCGCGGGGGATGAGGGGGCGGCGGCTGCTGCGGTGGTGGTGGTCAAGGAGGAGAGATTTGAAGAAGTTCAACTTTAGAAATGTCCACTCCACTACCCCCCCCCCCCACCACGTGACTCCACTACCCTCACCCACGTGACTCCACTACCCCCCCCCCACCACGTGACTCCACTACCCCCCCCCCCACCACGTGACTCTACTACCCCCCCCACTACCACACCACGTGACTCCACTACCCCCCACCACCGCACCCCGTGACTCTACTACCCCCCCACGTGACTCCACTACCCCCCCCCCCTCCACGTCGTCCACCACCTCCCCACCGGACCACCCCAACTGCAGCATTCTGCCCCCCCCCATTCACAACCTCGCAGTGAGCCAGCAGCAGCTACAGCAGCAGCAGCAGCAGCTACAGCAGCAGCTACAGCAGCTACAGCAGCAGCAGCAGCTACAGCAGCAGCAGCAGCTACAGCAGCTACAGCAGCAGCAGCAGCTACAGCAGCAGCAGCAGCAGCAGCTACAGCAGCAGCAGCTACAGCAGCAGCAGCTACAGCAGCAGCAGCTACAGCAGCAGCAGCTACAGCAGCAGCAGGAGAAGCAGCTACAGCAGCAGGAGAAGCAGCGACATCAGCTACAGCACCTACAGTAGCAACAGCTTGCCGCAGCAGCAGCTACAGCATCTGAAGCAGTAGCTACAGCAGCAGCAACAACAACAGCAGCAGCTACAGCAGCATCAGCTACAGCACCTACAGTAGCGCAACAGCTTACCGCAGCAGCAGCTACAGCATCTGAAGCGGCAGCCATAGCAACAGCAGCAGCAACAGCAGCAGGAGTTACTACAGCTCCTCCAGTAGCAACGGCAGCAGCTACAGCATCTGAAGCAGCAGCTACAGGCAGCAGCAACAACAACAACAGCAGCAGCTACAGCAGCATCAGCTACAGCACCTACAGTAGCAACAGCTACAACAGCAGGAGTAGCAACAACAACAGCAGCTACAAACAGCAGCAGCAGCTACAATAGCAGCAGCAGCTACAAGCAGCAACAGCAGCAGCTACAATAGCAACAGCAATTACAGCAGCTGCAACAACAACAGCAGGAGTTGCTACAGCTCCTACAGTAGCAACAGCAGCAGCTACAATAGCAGCAGCTTCAGCAGCAGGAGCAGCAGCAGCTACAATAGCTGCAGCAGCTACAACAGCAACAGCAGCAGGAGCAGCAGCAGCTACAATAGCAGCAGCAGCTACAACAGCAGCAGCAGCTTCAGCAGCAGGAGCAGCTACAACAGCAGCAGCTACAACAGCAGCAGCAGCTACAACAGCAACAGCAGCAGGAGCAGCAGCAGCTACAACAACAGCAGCAGCTACAACAGCAGCAGCTACAGCAGCAGCAACAGCAGCTTCAGCAGCTTCAGCAGCAGGAGTAGCAGCAGCAGCTACAACAACAGCAGCAGCTACAACAGCTACAACAGCTACAACAACAACAGCAGCTACAACAGCTACAAGCAGCAGCAGCTACAACAGCAGGAGTAGCAGCAGCAGCAGATGGCCGACTGTGCTGGCAAGGCCGGTCCTCCCCCCCCCCCCCGTTGGCCAGGTGGTGTCGTGCTGCCCACTGTCCCCACCTGTCTGCTGCCCTGCCGGGCTGCGTCACGGCGCTCGCAGCAACGGCGGAGGGGGGGCAGACGGCGGCGGTGGTCTCCGTGGCGACGGCGGCGGCGGCGGTCTCCGTGGCGACGACAGCGGCGGCGGTCTCCGTGGCGACGGCGGCGGCGGCGGTCTCCGTGGCGACGACGGCGGTGGCGGTCTCCGTGGCGACGACGACGACGGCGGTCTCCGAGGCGATGACGGCGGTGGTCTCCGTGGCGACGACGGCGGTAGTTTCCGTGGCGGCGGCGGTCTCCGTGGTGACGACGGCGGCGGTCTCCACGACGGCAACGGCGGTCTCCGTGGCGACCAAAAATTAATAAATAAAAAAGTGGAGCGGGGCCGCGCGGCAGACGGCGGAGGAAAATTCCAAAATCCCGAATTCGGCGGAAATTATTTTTCCGTTTTCTTTTTGTTGGAAGGTGGTTGGCGGAGGTGGGCGGAGTCGCGGACGAGTTTTCACAGGAACCACGACTATGACGACGATGACGGCGATGACGGCGGCGATGACGACGATGATGACGATGACGACGATGACGACGATGACGACGATGACGATGGCGGCGGCGATGACGGCGGGCTTCGTCGACGATACAAACGGCAACCGGCGGTGGCGAAAGCGACCTTGTATTTTTTGTTCCTATCGACACGCACCTGTACATAACTTTTGCGTAGGTTTAAGAGTTTAGATTTTATTATTGAAGGGGCGGGGGGGTGGGTTTGAGGGGAGGGGGGGGGGATTGAGGGGGGGTGGGGGATTGAGGGGGGGATGGGGGGGTGTAGGGGGGGGGTTCTTATCGTTTCAGTGGCGGTCGTCAGTTAAATCGGGGGGGCTGTTGTGTAAAAAAAAAAAAAACTAAAAATTTAAACCGCAAAAAAAATGATGATCTGTAAACAATCGCCGGGGTTAGCGAGGGGGGGGGGCGGGGCCAGGGGGGCGGGGCCAGGGGGGGTGGATTGGGGGGGGGGAGGTTTAAATCGGCCGCCCGTGATTCCCGTGGTGGGATCGTCCTCTTGATTCTTCATCTTGTTTGGTTTATTTTGTTTGTGTGAGCGCGCGTGGGGGCCGGGGGGGGTGGGTGGCGGTTTGATTGTCGTGGGGGGGCACGGCCCGGCCCCCCCCCTTCTACCCCCCCCCCCCCACCACCAATCCAACGATCGTTCCGTACGGAGCGGCACCAAGGGCCGATTGAGACGGCAGGGAGATGAGGAAGTTGGGGTGGTGGCGATGATGGTGGTGGTGGTGGCGGTGGTGGCGATGATTTATTACGGTGATGAGAGGGCGAGAGGCAAAATCAAAAACTGAATTAATTGAAACTAGATTTGTGTTTTACTCCACACGGAACTGTCGTTCGCAGTAGGCACAACAACACGGATACACAACAACAACAACAACACAGATACACAACACCAACACAGATACACAACAACACGGATACACAACACATACACAGATACACAACAACAACACAGATACACAACAACAACACAGATACACAACAACAACACAGATACACAACAACAACACAGATACACAACAACACATACACAACAACACCACAGATACACAGATACACAACACCACAGATACACAACAACGACACAGATACACAACAACAACACAACAACAACAGCACAGATACACAACAACAACAACACAGATACACAACACCGCAGATACACAACAACAACACAACAACACCACAGATACACAACAACAACACAGATACACAACAACAACGACACAGATACACAACGACAACACAACAACACAGATACACAACAACAACACAGATACACAACAACGACACAGATACACAACGACAACACAACAACAACACAGACACAACAACAACGACAAGGAGGCAGCAGCAGCAGCGCCCCACCACGCGGCTTGAGACTTTCTGAGAGACGGGGTGGGGGGCAGTGTCCGGACGACATCGCGACGATGACGACGACAACAACAACAACAACACATACACAACAACAACAAGCGGCGATGATGACAACAAGCGGCGATTATAACACAGATACACAACAACAACAAGCGGCGATGATGACAACACAGATACACAACAACAAGCGGCGGTGATGACAACACAGATACACAACAACAACAAGCGGCGGTGATGACAACACAGATACACAACAACAACAAGCGGCGGTGATGACAACACAGATACACAACAACAACAAGCGGCGGTGATGACAACACAGATACACGACAACAACAACAAGCGGTGATGATAACAACAACAACAAGCGGTGATGATAACAACAACAAGCGGTGATGATAACAACAACAAGCGGTGATGATAACAACAACAACAAGCGGTGATGATGACAACAACAACAAGCGGTGATGATGACAACAACAACAAGCGGTGATGATGACAACAACAACAAGCGGTGATGATAACAACAACAACAAGCAGTGATGACAACAACAACAAGCGGTGATGATAACAACAAGCGGTGATAACAACAACACCAACAAGCGGTGATGATAACAACAACAACAAGCGGCGAGTAACGACGAGAGGCGGGCGGCCCCGACCGGAGATTGCCGTCCGTCTGTGAGTTCCGTGGAGGAAATCGGTTGTTGTTGTTTTGTTGTTGTTTTGTTGTTGTTTGAAGTAACGATTATCAGCCTGCGACTTGGTGGGTGGCGGAGGCAAGGGGGTGTTGGTGGTGGTGGTGGTGGTTACTTCACAACCCCCGCCCCACTGCTATCCACATACCCACACATACCCCACCTACCCCACCTACCCCCTCACCGTCCCCCACTCCCCGATCCACAAGAGGGGTTGCGTTCACGCCCGCGACCACCACCACCCACCCACCACCCACCCACCCCTCACTGTCGTCTCTCCTCGCCTTAGGAATGTGGAGTTTTGACCACCACCACCCACCCACCCACCCCTCACTGTCGTCTCTCCTCGCCTTAGGAATGTGGAGTTTTGACCACCACCACCCACCCCTCACTGTCGTCTCTTCTCCTCGCCTTAGGAATGTGGAATTTTGACCACCACCCACCCACCCCTCACTGTCGTCTCTCTCCGCCTTAGGAATGTGGAGTTTTGGCCACCACCACCCACCCACCCACCCCTCACTGTCGTCTCTCCCCGCCTTAGCAATGTGGAGTTTTGACCACCACCACCCACCCACCCCTCACTGTCGTCTCTCTCCTCGCCTTAGTAATGTGGAGTTTTGACCACCGACAAATCCCCCCACCCCGGCACTTGGGGACTCGCTCGCTTGACGG